ATTTTGAGACCATCAGACAAAATAGTTCCTTTTCTCCGACCCTCACATGAGTATCACAGCTTCCCAACTGATGAAACTGTGCTGCATCTTTGCATTATTACATAGTAATGATGATGTAAAGTGCACTTGATCAGATTTAATTGATGTAATTTGAATGAGAAAAAATATTTTTGATTTTGTGTTACATCAGCAGAATATGAGAACACCCTAAAAGCTGTGTAGACAAACGCTGACACATGAACACTGATGTTGTTTGTGTGGGAGTGGTTTTGTGCTGAGTTCAGCCTTGTATTGATCTCTGAGCTCAGTACAAACACCTGTGGTTAATCAGGACCTGGAATCCCTGACACTGGTTTCACTGAACTCATCTGACAAATGTCTCAAATGTAAATCAACATTTTATAAAATGTCAAACTTTTCCTTAAAGCTCATTGATTTAACTTGTTGCTGTAACAGTGTCCACTTCCTCCTTCCTTCTCTTGCTATTATTGTTTGCTTGTTGGATACTATTCTCTGGCTCACCTGATCCCGAAAAGTCTTACTCTCCATGAAATGTTGAGTTGATGTCTGAGCTCTTTTCTTTACTTGTTGCTGTTGCTGCTCTCACTCTTCTGGTCTGTTTGCTTGTTCGTTTGGATCATCGACTCTCCTGGACATCTTTCTCACCTGGGCTCGAAAAGTCTTACAGAGGAAAAAGTAAACAACAGGGTCCAGACAGATGTTGAAAACTGACAGCATGATGGCTGCCTCCTTCAGGTAGTACAACACTGAACCAACAGAGCAGCTGTTCCACAGAAAAGCATAAGGAAGTCGAACCAGGTGAAAGGGGACAAAACAAACACAGAAGATGCTGACCAGCACCAACATGTTCCTGCGAGACTTCACCAGCTTCTTAGCATTGGAGGAGGCCAGCTGCCTCTGCTGTGCCTGCAACACCCTGCGGGAGATGCTGTAGTAAAAGAAGACCAGGGATATGAAGACCAAGAGGAAGATGATGGTGCAGAGGGTGTGGAGGATTTTGAAGAACAGGCTGATCGATACACTAAAGAGGGCCCCACAGTGGCTGGGGGTAAACGTCAGAGGTTTCTGGGTGATGAAAAAGACGATGGCGTATGTAACTGATGGAGCCAGGAGACAAACCCAGGTGACCATGGAGATGATGTGCGCAGTTCGCAGTGACTGCAGGACATGAGTTCCTGAAGGATGGACGATCTTCAGATACCTGAAGAGAGAAGACAAAGGAGACAGTAGATAACTTCACGAAGCAGTCACAGTGGTACCAAATTTGCAAAGGTCATTATCAAGTTAAAATGAGATGTCTACACATTCATCTGGAATTTAGGGTTTTTATTCATTAACACTGTCGTGAACTGTAGTGGGAAATCAGTAGAGGTCCTTTACCTGTTGGCAGCGATATAACACATGAATATGATGCTGGCATAAATGTTGACATAGACAGCAGAAGCTCCAAAGCTGCAGTAGAGCCTTCGAATGATGAGTGACTTGCTACCACAGTGGGTGATGCGCAGTGGCAGAGAGAGGCAGAGCAGGACGTCAGCAGCTGTCAGGTTCTTCAGGTAGACCATCAAACTGTTTGACTCCTGCTGCTGAGCTTGACCAATGTAAAACTTTAGGATGAAGCCATTGAGGAGTAAACCTACCTGAAGAGACAGAGAGAGGGTGAGGAGATGAGAACCTTGGTACATACAGTGCTTTGAGAACCTTAAAGCAATTTTTAGCACAGCACTGAAGATTGGAAACTTACCAGAAACACCAGACTGTAGACCAGTACAAAGAAAGGGTTGAGTGACGGGACAACTGGATCACAGGTCTGGTTGAAAGATGAAGTCATGTTTTTTGAGTCAGCCATTCTTCTTCAGCTGAAAAACAAATCAACTTTATTCTCTCTTTGAATGGCTTTACCATCATAGTCTAATTTTATTGTTAAACGAAACAAAGTCAAACTAATTTGAAATATTCTTTTGAGCTCTACTGCATCTCTCTTTTTAAGACAGTAATTATAATACATGGAGCTTTCTGGGGGAGTTTGCTGACAGTTTGACTAAATTCAGTTCACAACAGTTGTCTCAGGTTGCTTTCTATATGATGCACCCTA